TATGTAAACAAACTCAAATGCATAACTCACACATCTCGACATTCGAACTTTTGATGAGCGCAATGAATATTTACCATTAAAAACATTCCCATTGAAGCCCAGTTGCAACTGTAATATAAGGATGTCGTTAATTTAGACTATAAACTCCATTAGACTATATATTGTTTTAAGATAGATAACAAAACTAAAGACACACGTTCCAATACAGGGACTCATTCTTCATTCAGCCTTACTGCAGATAGATAATGGTGGTAAAATTGATTAAGTTCTCAATTAGGTCACCTCATGCATACATGTAACATGACTTTCATGATTCAGATACCTTATTATACACAACATATAAAGTTGAAAACGTCAAGTTTCCACTATAAAATGATGAACATCGCTTGAAATAATTCTCTTTATATTTCAATGTCAGAGAAGACAGCATTGTAGAAAAGTTTGTATATCAATATAATTGTAAATAAGGCAGTAAGAAGGTCCCGTTTTTGTTCATTGTACAATAGACAATTAAGACAATAATGTGTCACAATTTCACATACTAAAAAAATGAACGATCCAACAAATGCCTGTCTATTAAAAATTGCGTAAATCATGATTCAACTAACGGCAAAGATTTCTAAGAGAGAACGATATTTGAGCGATTTTGTCACCCAAAGTTTAAATTTTTAGTGAGGAAAGTTCACTATTACGTGTAGTTTCTTCATTATGAGCTTAAGAATGGTCAAAGCAACATAAGTCTAAGCAAAATATCATCCATATTATTAATAATACGCACATAAAAGGATACAACTATCGAAACAATTATTTGTTCCCCATGTAGCTGGATTATAATGGCTTGTCCGTCGTACAGAAGGAAGTTTGGTTACGTATTAATATGTAGGTTGTTTTTAAAAGGAGTTCTGCCGTATTGTGAATATTGCGGTGGCAGGCTATATATTGTTGTATATGTATGTATAGTATATGCCGTTAGCGTTAGTGTTTCCTAACCAAGTTTACTATTAAATGTATTGCGTGATGTTCCAGAGCGAAGATCAGCGATAGTTCTAATAGTTTCAAAATAAACTTATTCTAGAAGATCGATATTCCCACAATATGTCTTCATAATCCGAAGACAAATAAAAGATACATACTGCTTAGTTAATGTTTTACGGTCTACTTAAGACTAGTCTAACGTTTTTCTCTTGAAGACATTTTTTATTCGCTACCAAGAAACTTTATGATTTAGAATAAGACAAAGATGCGTATGTGACGATGAATACAATGTAAGTAACTACTCTATATTTGAAAAGATATTGGGAAGAGAAATATTGCTAAGATTCCCTGACAGAGCTTGTGCTGTCTGAGATGGATTGCAGAGGTGTCAAACGGCTTAATGTTGGGCGCATTATTATCAGTGATATCATTGTAATCAATAGTTCAGAATGACGACTGCTTACTTGAAGAACGCAAAGGTGTATTGTACTATATATGTGTTGAATACTAGGAATAATACTGTTTGTTTTGCACATTGGCCGGTGACAACCACTTCTAAAAAAGCAAATAGATCTGAAGCTAAAGGTTGCGTGAATAATTATTTAATTTCATGATATATGATAAATGTAACAAGAACTTATACGGTTGCCCTTATTGCTATCGAAAAGTAAAAAGGAATACAAAAATGAAAGCAAAAACAGCAAATTGGAATAGGATCAAGTATTCCGGTAAGGTAAGCGCTACCTTTTCCTTTAACACAGCCACCATGCAAATTCAAATAATGGCATGCCCTCAAAGCGATGACCACGGTAGGTACAACAAAACAACAAGGCACGCTCTTGAGGATAACAAAACAATTAGCGCTAGAAATATGATGTGATGAAACTTCTTTCATTCATTGAAACGATCATATATACCTGCCTTTACTAGATATCAAGGACACTTCAGCCTTTTTCGAGATCTCCCTTTTCATCACAACGAATGGGACGACACACTTTAGTAAACTGTACGATAAGCGGCACGGTTTCGATATTCCTCTTTTCCCCGTTTCCTGATGGTAACATCCCAGCCTCCCAACCTACGTTGTTTCAATGGTTTAACTCGGTATTCGAAAGCTGTCTTTGAAAAGTATGGCTTTTGACTGCTAATGGACAAACTTACACCGAAGGGTTTTGAAAGAAGCATGCTAATGAAGAGTATGGGATAACTTTATGATCACCATCATGATCGCATCGTAATATTTTTTTTATTTTTTTTTATGAAATATGAACGTCGATGTTTTCATTATGTACATTTATTTGTCTTATAGTTACGTTTTCATTACACTGGTTCTCGCTTTAAGGATTTTACCTGACTAGTATTTGCCCTAGATTTTCATGGCTGGTGTCGTCAAAGAGGTAGGCGAAGCTTACCCTTCCGGAACATCTGGTCTTATTAAGGATTGAATCTTGCTTTGGTCGATTTCATGGGGTGATGAATTGAGTTGGTATTGAAACTAATTTAATGAACTGACTAAAAATGACTATAATGCCACAAAGTTTCTTTTTTAATATTTTTGAAATATTATGTACATTATTTCCATTGTTTTTTGGAAATGGTATGAATCCCATACCAGTGGTATCTTCTTCTGTACAAGTTGTGCTAACAAAATGTCAATAGTTATCTCCCTTTGCATAAACTCAAAATATGTATTCATACGCACAGGCAATGTTAATCTGGTCAAATTCATGGGCAAATGAAACAGGTAACATTTGGTAGTTGCATTGAGTCCAACTTGAGTAGAAATTGAAATATTACTTCTTATACTTTTATAAGTGCCTTCATCAAAATCTGTCCTAGGCTCATATGAGATTTGCCCTAGTTTTATTGATTTTAGGTTCGAATTAAGGTTTTGTTACCACCTCTGTGTTATTTTGTTGTCTGTTTCAATATTAAAAATGTGCTTTATTGAATAACTAATGTTTCGTTTTTAAAACTTAATATGAAATGAATAACATTCGGAACATTTTTTATTTTATTTTTTTACATGTAAGACGGATATATAGTAGATATACTTTATTGGATCATATTGGACCATATCTTATTTTAGTAGATACAGTGCACTGTATATATATATCAAACTTTTTGAAAGAATCCCCAGTTTTTTATACATTGTACAAAGTATCATATTTATCCCTATTTGATAAATGCTAACAAACCGAAATAATCTTGTTCCTTTTTATGCCTTTACCAACCACAAAGATACTTCATGGAAATAACATTTCGATTTTGATAAATATTAACCAAATTATTCAATAATCATTTATTCAGAAAAGTACATTCCGTGAATAACATTAGAGGTGCGTAGAATTCTATACATTTCAATTTAAGGAATGTTTCAATGTGTATCCCTCATCAAAGATTAACCATTGTCCTCATTTTCCTTTGTATTGTTTCCACGACAACTACAGACACCTCCGTCGGAACATGCCATTGAATACGCAGCTCAATTCTACACTCAGTCATTCTCTGCCCCACCATGTCAGCGACAAATTCATTAGCAGAATTAATACCCATGGGAACGTTATCAGAAAAGGCTTTTGTTTCATTAACAATTTTGAAATCATTACACATTCTTTTAATATCAATTACTATCAAAACTGCCTTGTTACATAATATTTATTATAACAATTTTCTAATAGCACACATTTTCTCAATCAAAAGTACATATTTTGTATGCGACTGTCTTTTTCTCTTTGATCTTAATCTTAAGCTTAATCTCATCGTAAAACCTGGATAAAATAATGGTATTTAATGCCTGTATCTGCAGTGTAATTAAAACATATTATCGGGAGCATCAGACAAAATGGTGCGAAGCAGATTATCGTCATCTAGAGCTTTCGGAATATGCAATATAATATTTTCAGTACATACTGCTGTTGTACATTTTACTTCGTTCAAGCAGGAGGCGAGAGGTACTGTTAAATTGAAGAATCATTGCACTGTTGGTGTTGTTCATATCCGGTACCATTTTGGTACTCCCCAAAATGTTGGCCATTGCTGATTTTCCTTGGTAGTATTATACAAGGTGTTTTTTTTGCTTTTGAGTTTACTTGTCATGGTTGATTTACTACCTATCATATGATTTAAACATCAGTATTACCGAGATACAACTGTAATTGTGTATTATTATCCACGTTAAATCCCTGAGAGGGATTTCATTTTCAACTGTTATTAAAGTTTTTGTCTCTGTGTCTAAGATCCTTGGTGATCTATATATATCAGCAGACATTTGGTACAGGAAACGATTTTTTTTCAAGACAAACGGTTACGCCTCCGTTTTGTTAGCTTTAGATGCGTTCATGGTGTGGGGTTGGTTTTTTTTTTTTTTTTTTGTCCTTGGTTGTTTTTTCCATTTCTTGTAAATTTTGTCCTTGTTTACTATGAACCAACGCTGTGATGCACTTTGCCCTTTTATATTGACGCTATGGTACAGTACCTTTGTTCTTATAGTGACGCTGTGATACAATTTGTCCCTTTTTATTGACGCTTTGTTAAATTTTTCTTTGAATGTTGACGCTGTTGTACATGTTGCCCTAATAGTTAGACGCTTTGGTAAATTTATTCTTGCATATTGGCGTTGTGGTATACTTTGCCCTTGTTTATATTGACGCTGTGGTATAATTTGTCCTTGCATATTGACGCTGTGGGAAACTTTGTCATTGTATATCGACGCTGTGGTATACTATGTCCTTGTATATTGACACTGTGGTTGATTTTGTCCTTGTATATTGACGCTGTGGTATAGTTTTCCCTTGTATATTGCCGCCGTGGTATACTTTGTCCTTGTAACCTAACGCTGTGGTATACTTTGTCCTTGTATATCGACGTTGATGTATCATATATCCTTCTCTACTGATGCTGTATGATATTATATTCTATTATTTTGGTTCACTTGCTATTTTCTCAAGAGCATCTACTGGTCTAATCAATACTTGCCTAGATAATCATTTAAAAGAATGCAAAATTCCAAGTCATTTGTCTGTTGTAAGTTTTATTTTTATCGAAATTGACACATAGCAATATATCATATCATGATACATAAATATATGTCACAATTATGATGAGCCAATATCATTACTGATAAATAGTAAAGCCTCAATCAGAAATGGAAAACTACTGATTTCGTTTTCCTCACAATCATAAACGAATGATTACAATGAATGAAATTGTATCTACCATCTGTAATCATTAATGAAATGCTATTCGATAACTTTTTACACACCAATATTGACAATGCATGAAAAAGTGTATGCATGAAAAATTAAAGGTGTCGCCAATTTGCTTTTAAGGAAAACGTGAACTACGACATAAGCAACGCATAATACTTGTTACAATGGTATGATGATTGATCTAGAATGCAAATTCATATGACAATTTGTTCTAGATATTACTATGGTCAATACATTCAATGATTTAATATCTGGTGTACATGCATGACTGATACTCAATAGCATTCACATAATAGTATCAGTCAATCATAATCACACTTAGCAAACAAATAAATAGATATAAGATTGACTAAACTCGAACATACAGGCTGTTATATTCACGGTACGCTGTTGTACATGTAGCCACTTAGCATACCATGTAAGTGAAAAGGACACATATACACAGTAGTATACTCTGTTCTTTCGAAACCATCCTCGGTTCCGCCTAGTTGAACAGAAATGTGAATCGAGCACACTTAAGGAAATGTTAAAATATAAGCAAGACACCGAGAAAACTGTACATTTCCTGTTCTTCCTCTGACGTTATAGTTAGGTGTTTTGAGGCTTGAATCCACATAAAGCGTTTCATTTGTCCACTTCCAATATTCATTTAATAAATGCAAACTGTCACAAAAATGTCTATACTCACAGGTATTTATCCATTTACACGTTCTACTCATTTTGTACTACATACATACTTAAGTTCATTATCACTTCCATACCACGTGTGTACCCCTTAAACATGCATTCCATTTAGCAATCATTTCAATGAAAGAACAACATATACGCGCATGGTGTTTCCTAAAGGGAGACAACACCGTGATATTAAGGTTTGAGTAGGCAAGTTGTAAGTGATGAAACATGCATTTAAATAAACAACTGCTCTGAACATGTGTATACTTGCGACATGATTTGATCACACGCTGTACATGCGTTTACTGAATACGCAACACTGTAGTATGTGCAAGTTTGTTAACACAATATTACCGTCTTTCTACAAATTAGTTTCACATGACCAACTTGTTATTTCCGTAAATGACTAGCGTTTAATTGCATCATTCACGAATAACACCATGACATTATATCACACCACCCTGTTATTACAATACATGACTTGAATGTTATATCAACACACTATGACATTGCATCATTGTTTGACTGCCGCGTTTTTTTCCAGTACATCACTTGAGAGTAATGTCACCATTGATACATAACACACTATGACATCATATAACTTATTTTTATGACTTCCTTTCTACTTTAATACATGACTTCAGTTTTGTGTCATCAACAAAGATAACACATTATGTCACTACACAGCGACATTGTGAATGACCGCGTTTTTCAATACATACCTCGAGTGTAATGTCATCATTAATACATAACACACAATAACATCATATAACTCCTTCTTATGACTTCCCTGCTATTCCAATACATGACTTGAGAGTAAAGTCATCATTAATACATGACATACCATGACATCATATACCACCTTCTCATTAATACCATGCTATCCCAGTACATGACAAGAGCATTATGTAGCCATTCATTTACAACACACTTTACAAATGTTTGAATACTGTCTTACATGTAATTTGATCACATAAATGCTGATGTTATAACAGTAAAATAGCCTTTGTTGCCAAAAAATAATGGGATAAAAAAATGGATCAACGTTAAACAACATTCTTAACTAGCAATGATGAGGAATATGAAATTGACTTTGCTATTGATTGTGAAACAAAATGAATACCCTCTTGTACTTATAACCAGAATACTTTATTATCATGCGTTATACTATGAATGAACATGCGCATAGCATATTATAATATCGTATTTATTTACAATGGTTTTACTTTATTTTATTTTGTTTACATATTTATAAAGTATTTGTTCTTTTCACATTTTATCGAAACTATACAAATAGCAATGGAAAAAGTGATTCACAAACACTTATAGTTGTTTATTTATTTAGTTATGATTTATTAAACAGATTCCTTGATACATTTCCATATATTTATCCGTCACAGATATATCAAACGGATGCTGTTTTAAATGGTGATTTATAAAAGTCGAGAAAAAACCCTGATGAAATACCTTAAAAATGAAAAAGTATTAAATTCATTTTATCAAGGTTCATGTGAAATGATAGGTAAAGAAGAACCTTTGTTTTCGTACGTAACAATTATTTATAATAGAAAGGAGAATTCTTTTGATAACAAATAAATGCTTCGGAAGATAGCTCTGTTTCTTTGTACAATAAAACCGTTCGTATTAAGCCAATCAAGACATTTGTGTTCATGGGCTGACTGTTTTAAAATAAATACTACCAGAATGTAAATACACAAATTTCTTACTGACAATGAATTAAGGAATCATACACATTTATGCATCCATATATTACAAATAGTAGTTAGCCCCGTGAATTATCATATACAATGTACTATACGCAACATCAGCAGACATTGATTTGTGTCTAGACACCACGTGATATTAGATACATTACGTGGGGTATAATCACCTCGAGTTCGTGATCTCGTTCAAAGCCTTGCTTACAAGTCAAAGCCATTAAATCAAGCTATATCTTATAATACTATCACTGACATGTGCACAATATGTGTGCGATGATTGTACAATACAGGAGGTGCATACCTAGGTTTTCTTAAGACATAGTATCATTTGCCAAACCTGAAAGCGCAAGAAGATCACATAACAGAGTGTTGATGTACATGTACCTGCTATTGGTTTATTTTGAATTTTATATCTTCCCCCACATCAGCATCCTAAACCTGTCTTGCGTTTGTCTTCAAAGTGAAAATGATATCATTTGTAAAAGGAACCTGATTATTCAGAATGTAAGAGTAACTTTCCGAAGAGCATATAAGAAATGCAGAAGGAAAAAATACTTCCACTGTCGTAGCATAGCTCATTCTAGAGGCGTTTGTTAAAGCTAAGACTCATCGATAAGCGGGCACATACATGTTCTCAAACAAAAAAATCACCAAGATGAGAAAAATGCAGTAAATGAAAGCACCCAAAACGATTAATAATTGATTTGTTTTAATTTTGTCTTAAATACTCTTATACCCTCTCGTCACAGATGCGTGTTACGCATGTCATACTACAAAACCATATACATGTATATAAAAACGGACATACATTTATAAGACCTGTATGTATCGACACGTACTCGACACGTGTGTTTTATAAGACCTGTATGTATTGACACATATATTGTATAAGACTTGTATGTATCGACACGTGTGTTTTATACGACCTGTATGTATCGACACGTACTTTATATAAGACTTGTATGTATCGACACGTGTGTTTTATAAGACCTGTATGTATTGACACGTGTGTTTTATAAGACCTGTATGTATCGACACGTGTGTTTTATAAGACCTGTATGTATCGACACGTGTGTTTTATAAGACCTGTATGCGTTGACACATATATGTTGTATAAGACCTGTATGTATCGACACGTGTGTTTTATAAGACCTGTATGTATCGACACGTGTGTTTTATAAGACCTGTATGTGTTGACACATATGTTGTATAAGACCTGTATATATCGACACGTACTTTATATAAGACCTGTGTAAATTGACACATATATTGTATAAGACCTGGAAGTAGGGATATCTGTGCTACACAAAATACGTACATGTAATAACATATGATATAAACGCTAGCATATCATTAAACTTAGCAGTTTTATACATGTTTTGGTGCACAGGAAGATGTTGAATACGTTGTACAATCGATAGCAAGATGTTAGCTCCCTACCGTAACAATTTGGGTTTAAAAAGCTCAGCACGCAATATCATTGCTCTCACGATATAAGAATTTAATCACAAATTCGCAGAGTAGATACGTCCATGAAACAGTGTTTGTTAATCACTATCCGTACACTAATGACATCTTGAATACAGAATTATGTCTATTAGCCGTCCTGGGAGCTAATCGTAGAGGGCTAGCATATATAATTCATACCAAGACTGATGAAGAGAAATAATACAATAATTAGTTTGTAAAATCTTCTATGTAATGTGAGAAGCCAAAATAGAAACAAACGAGGAAGGAACCCGGGTCCACCCCATGTGGTATTTCGATTACTTCGATCGGGATCGTAAAGATGAACTCTGTAGAAGTCATTGATCAAACAATCTCTATACAATAGCAGGAATCCGGTTGACGATTCCGATATAAACTATTTTGTAATACTTTTTTTTCTCTGATACGTTCTCATATTTGATTAATAAATATGTTGATTTCACAGGCTTTCAGCAATAACCGATGACAGAGTGTTTGTTAGTATTAAGACATGAGGGAGCGTTATTTTGTAATAATTAAGAACTCTATTAGGAGAAACAAAGTATTCGAACAAAAGATTGCAGGTAAGAGTAGGATATTGCATAGCATTCTCATCAAATGTGATACACAAAGAGTCGATGGAACACCCTCTTCTGTCACAGAACCGGAAGCAGCGTCACGATATTGCACTCTGAACACATGGATATTTACACGAGCATGTAATGTTTTACATTGCTATGGCCGTCTTGACATGCACACGTCATACGGTATAGTTCTAAAATAAACCGCTCTGGCTTGAAGATTAAGACACAATCGACTTTATGACATTGACAGATGAGAATCGTCAATTGATTACATTTTGAATAAAAAGTATTAAGAAGTACTGAATATTTACAATGAATTTGTACATAATTGTTGTGACATCTAAGGAAAACGGTGTTATGTCGTTGCACGTGTAACATAAAATGCCATCTACGTCCGCAGATCCCCCATGGTATGGAACTACTGGATAAGATGACACTGATCAATAAAGCTGATCTCTATTGTTGTCTTGTTATACTGCAGTTTTTCTATGCGCCATTTTAATTATATTGTACACTTAACAATGTACAATGTAAGACATTGTAAACTATGTATGTTGCAGGTACTTTTTGGATATACTCATGAGCTACATGAGCTAAACCTATCCATGATATAGCTGTGATGTCGTTTGCTTGTAAGAGTTATTTCCCTTCCTTGAGCTTAATCCTCGAACACTTGTAAATCTTGGTACTTCCTTATATCACTAGATTATCGTAGCTTCTCCTACATAATTCCGCGCTGAATGGTGTGGCTTCGTGTTTGTTGATATTTAAATGATTCCACATTGACGTCACGTAAAAGAGGATAGATTGTATACCGCTATACATAAAGTCCATACAAGGGTGCGTAGTAATACAGGAAACCCGAAGTAGCTATTGGCGCCATTCCATTCCATTTCCACAGGACCTACAACAAAAAGTATCTTGTTTTTATAAAGGCAGTGTTGTTGTTCAATACTGAAATATACCGTACACAAATATATCAACGATTGCAATTGAATTAAGTTGTTATTAAATACAGCAATACTCATAGATTTATAGTGAACTTTGAGATAATTTGTCTAAGGTTGATAAATATAAACGTAAAAATGCATCATTATATTATTTTCCTTGCAAATGCTAGAAATGTTGTACCCAGGACTCGCATTACGATCTAAAAACTGAGAGTTCAAAACATATATTGCTATTGAAAGAAGATATAAACATATGTAACATGTAGTTTTAGAATGGACAGGTACTAACATGAATTGGTTTCAAAGAAATTAAAACAACTAAGAAATGTAAATTTTATCATATAAAATATCGCACGCATAACTTATCCCAAACCTTCAGTAGTTATGCATGAAGCGTAGAATTAAAACAATGCTATTGTTTACATGAAGAATTACAGAATGTTCCAAATCCCGTTTGTGTCGAGAAGAGAAAGAGATAATGACAAACATTCGTGAGTCTAACTCTGACCTATTAGAGCATCTAATGTACATGCATTAAGGTAATATAGTGTGATTGGATAAACAAGAAAAGAAACTACATTTATATCAGAAACTTAAGCAAAAGCATGCATAAAGTCAAGACTAGGAATTAAGATAAACAGAAATTATAGACAATGAAAATAGTAAATAAGTGAATCATTTAAAAAGTATTGACATGTCAATAAAACGGTATGTGTTTACTGTGTTTGTGTGTCGGGTGTTCCGAATAGTGCTAGTGACGTGATGCTGCGTTGATCATTCTGACAAAGGTATACTAGTATTATAGTTTACCGTTATATGTAAATGTAGATCTAAGTGATAGTACTGTATGTACCGGATGTGAAGTTAAACGGCGGGGGTTTTCTTGAGTGATTATTTATTTAATCACTTTTATCAAAACATAAATGTATTTAACTGGTATTCTCAGACGTTAAATTTAACACTGAATATATTCGAACGTTTCAAAGTTTATTTATATCCATGCTTCATTTACATGTTCATGTCATTTGACACTTCATACCCGGATTTTTGTTAATAAGTCAAATAATTTAGTTGATTATTTTTTAATTGCATTATCTATCTATTTATCAATAACCATAGTTCATTAGTTTATACATTTATGTAGTTTGACACGCGTTCACGTAGAACTCAATTAATGGAGTGCTATATGTCTAAGAGTGACTGCGCGTTAAAACCACACATAGGAAGCCAATGAGGTATTGTACTTCATTAAATGTCGCTATTCTTTTATTCATAAATCATTTATAGAATCTCTGAATTCTTACGAGTTGTTAAACGAATCGTTGCAAAATTGCTTTTTTTAAATGTCAAATTTTAAAGATAAAGTTTTAAACTTCTTTGTTCATGATTTTTTATGGACAGCAAACTAATACTAAGTTTGCTAAAAAGGGGTTGCACTAGCAATGATGTGGACAGGAAATACCACAAGTACAAAGGTGCAGATCCAAACCAATATGAAGATACATTTACAGTAGTCTAACATTTCTCGGCAGTTCTGGATCTTACGACGAACCATGTATATCTGAGATGAAATCTGATGTCTTATTATTTGTCAGTAATATACATTTGAAACCATCTGGCGTCTTGCAATGTATTTCAACTGGTTTAATATACTCCGATTATTATGATTATTCATTTTAACGCCCATCAATCTACAGTGGTTTTGTTGTCACTAATCGATTTATCGCTGAGAGGAAGTGACATCACTTGGATTTGACCTAGATCACCATGGGAGGTGTCGTCATTGAAGTAAAAGAGTTTGAGTTCGAAAGTGTTGTTTTCCAGAATCATTCTGTAGTTGGTTTCAATTATTCATCTACTGATCAAGCCAATAAATAGAACGGAATCCTACATGTTACCATCGTTAGGAAGCAGATATTCCAGTCTCCAGGTTTATTGTCAACTTATTTCATTATGTTATTATGTCATACTTTTAACTGATTTCACACTAATTTCATCCAGCTCTGCAATCAACCAGTATAGCAAAAGTGTATATTATAGTTTAATAGTGTCACCTGTAACTAGTTTGATTACCTGTTTTATTTTCTAAGCTTTAATACCGCTATGCACCTTAAAACATTAAGTGTATTGCACAGTTGTACATATGTATATATTTACACCTCTCCCCCTTTTCAGGTAAGTAAACAACGCAATGAAAAAAGATTCGGCGGATTGATATATTTTTCAAATATGGCGCCGTTCATGCACCAGCGCGATTACTGTTCGATGTCAATTTGTTTTGGTTCCTTCAACATCTAGAAAATTGGAACATATTTGAGATCCATTATGTTTGATTATGCAAGAAAGGGTTGCTGACAAACTTCTTATTCAATGGATGCACATTCAAAATTCTTTGACGGTAAAGAAAATAATAGCGGCTTCCTTTTGCGATGTTCGACCGCGTCACTACCAGAGCAGTGTGTCAATGCGTGTACATAACGACCGTTATGAATGAATGAATAAAAAATGTTTTCTAAATTTACCAATATATCGATGTAGATTCACTGGAACTATATTATCGTAGCAACCACGGCTTACGTAGTTACCATCGTATCAACCCGCTTCGAATGTTTTTTTCTTTGTATAGCATTTAAACGTTATTTATTATGTAAATATAAGGATTGACCTGCATTTTGACGGCGTATACGGTAGTATGAACGATGTTGGCAACGGACATATTATTTATGGAGCGCTAACACGCACCATAGAATATGTTCGTTTAATTTTCAAAATGCAGGTCAATCCTAAAGAGATGTTACATAACGCATCTAAAGCTTTGCTTTACCGGCACCCAGTGTACTAATAGGTGATTTTCTTTCCAAATCATGTTTATTCCAGCAAATTGTTTCAGTGACATTAATACGGCATGGATAGTTTCAAGGTCAATACAGAAGTTATTACATAGTTCTCTATATGTAGTAAGGGTAAAATAATTACCATAATAGCTAAGTACGCCTAAAATAAACAGTTTGATATTACAAAAGCAAGAGCAATTGTTTTATTAGTATACATGTTTTAATACCTATATAGATATATACAAACATGTCATTTAGTTGATTACACAACACACGTTTGGCATTCATAGCAACACAAATGTGTTTACTTTTATTGGGATAACTAAGTTTATGTATGTATGTCTTTGAGGTAACGCAATCGGTATATTTGAACAACAGTTCTTTTTTAATGAGCAATTATTTACGTTTTTCATGAAATTATACTTTCTCACCAGAAAAATAGTTTCTTTTTTTTATTATATTGGACTAACGATAAATTAAGCTGTCCTATCTACTAGTGTGACTTTGGACTGTGTGTGTTACATACCGTTTCGATTGAACTTATTATATGCTGTGATTTGGTTATTAAAACGTGGGAAAGTCGTGGTCGTACCCGCTCCACTACCTCCGCGGATGTTCGCTTTTCCTGGTGGAAGCGTGCTCGTGGGAACCTCTGCCCTTCGTACTGGATATTCTGTAAAATAAAGACAAACGTACATTTACTTGCCATCAATTTGTCACAATTTATTCTTACGTTTGTGCTTAGCTTCCGATTTTTGCCTTTCAACCTACTTTTTTGTTACTTTCAACATTGTCCTATTAACAGAATATAAATGCGACAATTTGACTGCTACTAACTTAAAATCTGTTATTCATTTAAACAAAATATGCAAAAAAAATATTTACGTTTATAAGCATTTACAATGTATTTCACAGACCTACATATATAAGGTGTAATCCTCAAAATTTGCCTATACATTGGAACTTTCAAGTAGGTCAAAGGTCTCCTGAATTCTGTTCCTTTTTATCAATTAACATGCTCATCCCCTACCAGTTAAATTTTAGTTATATGTAGCGCGTTTACAGGGATGTCAGCATTTCAGTTGACAAACGGAATGGAGTGATAACGAAATATAACTATTTGTAAACGCAACGAAAATGGCATGCAAAAGGGCCTAACTAAAATAAAACGGAAATTATTTTCCTACTTAGAACGAAATGGGGTCTGGTAAATCGTCTACTCTGCTGTACAGTGTTTATCCACAAATAATATTTTACGCATGACTAGGCCAAGTAGCTCTTGCAGTATGCAATTGGATTTCGCCTGATGTGTAGGATACATGTATAATACCTGTTTACTGATGTTGAGGGATATCAGTTTTAGCATGTGTTGATACTCCTAACGCATAGTGAAGGCCCAGAAAGGAACAAAACGAAACGTTTGGGATAGGGAGAATGGGTGGGGAGGGGGTTGAAATGGAACGGTAATAAATCGAACCATTCAATTTGGTTAGAAGAAAGAATATACTGACAACTCAAATTATAAAACCGTTGAAAAGTGTCAGTCCCTGTGTGAATAAAATGCTTTATGTGAGTCATATTTTCCCCGTTCCATCCCTTCATTAAACCATTTCTCATGACTAGTAATTCATTTATCAGCTTATCACCGCTAGCCCTTCACTCAAACGTTTTATCATGACTATAAATTCATTAATCAACTTATCATCACTTTCCCTTCACTCAAACGGTTTTTTCATGACTAGTCCTTCATTAATCAATTTACCATCACTCGACCTTCACTCAAACGCTTTCTCATGACTAGCCCTTCACTAAACCATTTATCATAACCATCTCTAAACAAAACCATTTTTTCATCACAAGTCCTTCACTAGACCATTTTTCATCTCTAGTCCTTCACTAACAAAATTCTCATCACTAGCCTTTCGTTCAACCATCACTAGCTCTTCGGCTTTCATTTATTTGTTTCTAAATGGTCATTAAACGTCAATCAGGATTGACAACAAATGTCACATGACTTTTCTGAACCTGTGTCCTGTAGTCCTTTATCGCAACAGGTCTTCAGTTCTTCACTTTCTACTTGAATATAGGAAATGTCAGCTGGAACGTAAGGTATTTCATTCATTTATGAAACCCAGCACCATATCAAGTACGTGTTTTATGAGGAACAATAAATCACTCGGGGGGACCTTAAACCGGAAGTTTCGGGAAAATTGACGGTTAGTCGATTTGGTGATATTGTAGAATGATTTGATTAGACTTCAGTTGACATTAAAACAGTCAATGGTATATTGACATTGATTTTGTTTCAAGTTCTGCGCAAATTAAATTAACCGAAAATCTTTTGAAGGAAATGTGTAAATTAAAGTTAGGTTATAATTGTGTTAGCGAAATAAAAGGTGAACTAACGCTCTCGAGAAATATATAAAAAAAAGAGTGTGCGGCTGAAATCCTGATGCAGAATCAGTGCATATGGCTCCAGTGAGCAATCTGCACTAAAGCCAGTACTGTCCACTAATTCATTTTATTTCAAAATATTTTATTAAATCAATTGATTCAATGGGAATTGGGCAACAGGCTATGTCTATACAAGCCTGTCCACTAGTTAACAGCATTCGGTATGCCAGAATAGTATAAACTCTCCCTAAATAGCATACATCTGATGACTAACACCTCCAATATAGTGTACGTCTGAAGTCCTGATACAGAATCAGTATAGAAGGACCCGGTAAACAGTTTGTACCAAGGTCGTATTGTTCCCTATCTTATATAACGGCAATAGGTATGCCAAAATAAACCTCTCCCTAAATAGCATACATCTGACAATAAACACCTCCAATATAGTGTACATTGTACGTCTGAAGTCCTGATACAGAATCAGTATAGATGGACCCGGTAAACAATTTGTACCTAGGTCGTATTGTTCCCTATCTTATATAACGGCAATAGGTATGCCAAAATAAACCTCTCCCTAAATAGCATACATCTGACAATTAACACCTCCAATATAGTGTACATTGTACGTCTGAAGTCCTGATACAGAATCAGTATAGATGGACCCGGTAAACGATTTGTACCTAGATCGTTTTGTTCCCTACCCTAGATAATGGCATGAAGTTTGCCAAAATATTCCTGATAATAACACAGTAACCGTTTTTTTTGTTTTTTTTAAATATACCACACTGATTTAAATCGGTTTTCCTTAATACAATACCGCACACATTTATTCATAGAGCATACCCATGTGGACTACAGATTTGTTTTTATGAACAAAAACGTATGTCTCCCCTTTAACGGTTTAAAAAAATTGCGGCCGGACAAAATATTCCTGAAAACCTGATAATGACTTACTCTCATCAAGTAACAAAACTAAGACAATAAACACCTCCATTTAAGTCGGATACCCCTGACACTGGATACTTCTATTGAAGCCGGAGTTTTGGAGAAGTCGACCATTTTTCATGTAACATAACTCTATGTAACAAAAATAATCTCTCTTCATGTAGGATAACCCTTGCAAAAGACATCTCTTTTTAGGCACAATAACTCTAATAATCACTGTATCTCTTCATTTTGAACAACCATTTCGCTCCTTATTGAAACTAACCTTGACAATTGCCTTCTTTCTTCCAGTCACATAATCGTGGAAGTAACCACACACTTTACCAAGGAAGACCAAGTTATTTTTAATTTGTTTGTTAATCAACAATCTTCATGATGTCATCCGTTAATGAAACAGTTAAATCTTCGATCAATTTATTCCTTTCAAGAATATAATCCTAACAATAATTAGTAATGAAAAGAATGATTGCAGCGAGTTCTTTCATTTGTCTGCAATTCCATCCAGTATTCTTTACCTACAAGATGAACGTAATTCACGCATAGGTCATTACACCTTTAAGCATAGGTGATAGATACAGTACAATGTAAGTCAAAAATGTATCAAACTGCATCATACAGCTGCTTCATCCTACTATAACCTCATCCTTCTATAACCTCATCCTATTATAACCTAATCCTACTATAACCTCATCCGACTATTACCTCATCCTGCTATAACCTCATCCTGCTATAACCCCTGATCCAACTATAACCTCATCCTACTATAACCTCATCCTTCTATAACCTCATCCTACTATAACCCCTCATCCTACTATAACCCCTCATCCTGCTATAACCTCATCCTACTATAACCCTTGATCCAACTATAACCTTATCCCACTATAATTTCATCCTACTATAACATCATCCTACTATAACCCCTCATCCTACTATAACCTCATCCTACTATAACCTCATCCTACTATAACCTCATCCTTCTATAACCTCATCCTACTATGACTTCATCCTACTGTAACCTCATCCTACTATAATCTCATCCTACTATAACCTCATCCTACTATAACCCCTCATCTTACTATTACCTCATCCTACTATAACCTCATCCTACTATAACCTTATCCTACTATAACCTCATCCTACTATAATATCATCCTACTATAATATCATCCTACTATAACCCCTCATCCTACTATAACCTCATCCTACTATAATCTCATCCTACAATAACCTAATCCTACTATAACCTCATCCTTCTATAACCCCTCATCCTACTATAACCTCATCCTTCTATAACCCCTCATTCTACTATAACCTCATCCTACTATAACCTCATCCTACTATAACTTCATCCTACTATAACCCCTCATCTTACTATTACCTCATCCTACTATAACCTCATCCTACTATAATCTCATCCTACAATAACCTAATCCTACTATAACCTCATCCTTCTATAACCCCTCATCTTACTATAACCTCATCCTTCTATAACCCCTCATTCTACTATAACCTCATCCTACTATAACTTCATCCTACTATAACCCCTCATCCTACTATAACCTCATCCTACTATAATCTCATCCTACTATAACCTAATCCTACTATAACCTCATCCTTCTATAACCCCTCATTCTACTATAACCTAATCCTACTATAACCTCATCCTACTATAACCCCTCATTCTACTATAACCTCATCCTACTATAACCCCTCATCCTACTATAACCCCTCATCCTACTATAACTTCATCCTACTATAACCTCATCCTACTATAACCTCATCCTACTATAACCCCTCATCTTACTATTACCTCATCCTACCCCTCATCTTACTATTACTATAACCTCATCCTACTATAACCCCTCATCCTACTATAACTTCATCCTACTATAACCTCATCCTACTATAGCCTCATCCTACTATAACCTCATCCTTCTATAACCTCATCCTACTAAACCTAATCCTACTATAACCTCATCCTACTATTACCTCATCCTGCTATAACCTCATCCTACTATAACCTAATCCTACTATAACCTCATCCTTCTATAACCCTTCATCCTACTATAACCCCTCATCCTACTATAACCCCTCATCCTACTATAACCTCATCCTACTATAACCCCTCATTCTACTATTACCTCATCCTACTATAACCTCATCCTACTATAACCCCTCATCCTACTATAACCTCATCCTACTATAACCTCATCCTACTATAACCTCATCCTGCTATAACCTCATCCTGCTATAACCCCTCATCCTACTATAACCTCATCCTACTATAACCTCATCCTACTATAACCTCATCCTACTATAACCTCATCCTGCTATAACCCCTCATCCTACTATAACCTCATCCTTCTATAACCTCATCCTGCTATAACCTCATCCTACTATAACTTCATCCTACTATAACTTCATCCTACTATTACCTCATCCTACTATAACCTCATCCTACTATAACCTCATCCTACTATAACCTCATCCTGCTATAACCTCATTGGTTACTACTGTTGAAACAGAGGAGTAGTTGTGTAAAATCCTTTGATCATGATTTTTAAAACCTAGAAGAGTACTTGTTAATTTCATATCAAATAAACTGTTAAGCGTGTATATCATGAACCTTGCCACTATTCAAAAAAGATAACTCCGACATTCAAAGTTACAGCAACCCTCAGGGACTAAAGTGTCCACCATTAGATGAACGTTACACACACATGTGATTGCTGCTTCAAAATTTGGTAATATATGTTAATATGATCAAAATATAAAGGTTCCATAGGTTAATGTTTCTAAATTTCATTTGAAAATCCAAACAAGAATCGGAACAAGGAAAAAAAAATCGCCGTGCTACATCTGACAATATTTTTTTTAATCATGCTGGAAAATGTTCCATTTTACTATGCTTCCCCACGACATATTTTAAGCAAAATCTTTCAAATGTATACTGTAATTACATCTAGACACACGACATCCAACATTTCGGGATCCGTCCTTGCGCGTATCTAAACAAAACGTTTCGTTTGGGGTCTCGGCAGTCCCACCCCTCCATCCTTTCTTATTTTATTTTATTTGTCGAATACCTTTTTAACTTCTTACGCTTTTGATTATGTGTGATCAAGTTCCTGTTTTCTTTCCTGTACAACGACTTACTATCTAGTTGAGAAAATGTTTGTCCTTACCATGAGCACGTGACAAGGTATGTCAGGATGCGTGATGCAAGACAAGGCAGAATAGGAACGCGTGCAAAACATGTCAAGATTTACGTCTGTGAGGTATCTAATGTAACGCTTTATTATTGCGCAAGCTCCAAACGTCGAGGAGCTTACTGATTTTGTTTTATGTGAATAAATAAAAAAAAATCTTCAATAACGTTGAAAATATATTAAAGACAAAATCAAATATATAATGTTTACCGTATAAAAGCATGTTTTCAGTATCGCCTCCCAACTTGTTTGATGCCTCGCATGTATAGTTGCCGAAGTCTTCTTTCTGTAGGTTGTAGATCTGTAGGTTGAGGGTCAGTGTATGCGGACGGTCGTGGAATACGTCAGACCGATATTTACCATATTCTGTTACCAATTTTTTATCTCCTTTTCTCCAGAAAACCTCAGCCTGGGGTGAAGCTGATATCACACAGCTCAAAATGGTTTCTTTCCCCAAGTAATGTCCCATTCGTTTGGTGAGCAGTCGAACTTCCGGTTTGACTGTAAAAAGAAAAACAATTAAGAGAATATTTAATGGCGTTCCGTTGGATAACATTTATATTTCATGAGTACGGTTGAATATCGATGTTTTTCAAGAGTGTAAATATTAGACATACAGCTTTACTTTTAGGAACCGTTTACAATTGTAAAGATATCTATGTATAAGCTTCAAATATTAATTTTAAGTTGACATCGCGTCCAGCACTGATGTAGAGAAATGATGTAGGTTGTGAGACAGGCTATGTATGTAACACCACACAATTAACTCAAAGACATTTAAAGTTTTAAAACTGAGATAACGGGAATATATGTACATTTATAAACACTATCGTAACATCAGTAGGGTTCTATCCAAACTGTACGCAGTCCTATTTTAATATCGAAAACACCCCACAGAGAATAACTTTATTAAACTTTTTCGGTCATTGCATAATTCTAGAAGTCATACAATGTATACACAATCAATATGTTAATATATTCACATGTATACACTTATACTTAGATAACTATATCCCGTATCATAAGCACAACGTTAGAGTGGCGATCACTGCGAATTGGTTTAATAATGAGTTGACTTGGAAACAGAACAAGATAAAAGCAATACACGGAAATAATAACTTGTTTTGCACAACTGTACATATTCAGTATATAACAATCGAAATGGACTTATTTAACCTACTAGGTCTTATAGAATATAACTTTACCAAGGGTAAGGTTATATACTCGTGAGTTAACACAACGGTTATTGACAGGTCCTTTTGTCGAGTTTAGATGCTCTCCGTTTGTATTTAAAGCGTTGTACAGAAATTTAAATAACGCATTCACTAAACTACCCTTGGGTGTAGTTGTGAAGCATCAGAATAAAAGATGTACTGCCTCTGTAATTGGTTAATAACATTGGAACTAGTACTTTACATGGGTATGATGCGGCGTTAATGTATCGCCACGAACTTAATTGGCATTGTAATAAAGGCTTTACACACAAGAAGGGGAAGTTCGAGGGAATAATGTTGTCGTTGACAGAGTTGTGTACTCGTAAATTGTCATCATTTAGCTGTCTGCAAGTAGGAAACATTCGTTTTTATCTACAAATGTATAGAGGTTTCAAACGGATGCGTTTATATGTCAAAATCAAAACCTTTTCTATACGGCATAGCAAGGTACAAGTTATATCGGACTGTTTACATGAAATTAGTTTCTAAATATAACAAAATTGTTTATTTGAGCGAAAGTAAGATTACGAGATTTGAAATTTAAATCAGCTTGAGTGACGAGACTTGAAAACAACTGCATCACTAAAATGCTTGAAGGAGACATCAGGGAATGCTTGAAATTAATTAACTATTGAAATGATTCAGTCAATGCATCGCCTGTAGTACCATCAGTGCTTTTGATTGTCTAGGGCTATGTTTGTGTTACAAACAGCTGTTGAAATTGTCACCCCAACACATTCCGTCAGTGACAGATAAGTACAGGCTGTAGGCGAAATTACAATGAAAGTCGAAGGGGATGGTAATACCGTTTGGTGATGATATCTAATACAAGTACACAGCCAGGATAAATGGCAGCATCATTTTCAAGACCGTTGCCGATGCATTTAAAATCGTATTTAGACATCTACACTGTCATCTTTTCTTTTTGTTCCATTAAAAGGAAAGACATAGTGTGCTCTTTCATTCCCCTTTCCTTTATTACACCGTATAAAATAAAGAAAATGTTGTTTGTTGTGGGTAAGGTGCGTTTTCAGACACTGCCGGACAAGGAAGGAAAAATTGAAAACGAATAAAGGTACTCTCGCTAAAATGTTGAAAACACTACACAGAACAACAGTAGCAGCAATATTGAAGTATCAACTTTTCTATAGAATCTTATACGAAGATGAAGCGATATTGGTCTCTGAAAAGTAGGATGTAGTGTACTGGTAAATCAATATTAACCCTAAATTGCCATTATTATAGTCTTGTTTAGTTTTCTTCAGCTTGTTCTAATCAATTGTACATGATCGATCGGGAGGGACATTTTAATGAAGCACAAACAGAAACAACTCTTTATGGAGAACAATTATAAGCGTAAAATGTTTCATTTTGATAACTAAAACGATAAAAACTAATCCAGTACGTTATTTAACAGAGAATGTATCATAACATTCCGCGAACGTTATTAAAGACATGTATTATATAGAGACAGATTGTGTAAATATTTGTGCATTGCATTTCATTTTCAGTAAAACTGTCATTCGTTGTGATATTATTATGGAAGAACCATTAGTTACACGCCACAAAACAATAAATTGCCTATCCTATTGAGGTATCACACTGTCGTCTACTGTCGTGTGTAGACTAGAGGTTACACAAAGTACTCCCTAAGACCTCTACGTTTGGACGAGGGAGTGATCCCCGTTGTAACTCCATGTTAACTGTGTGGTTCACTAGGAATGCGCTCCGGGTTAAGCTCAATGTCTTTAAGACACTTTAGTAATGAAGTTTACCTTTAGTCCACATTGATACTATCAATGTATATTAAGCTATATGTCTGTAATGCTTTTTTATACAGATAGCTGTTGTTATGTCTTTATTCATAGCAATGCTTCTTAACCTTCTAGAAAGAGGTGACATGATCCTTATGTAAAATATTTTCATTCCGGCATCTAAATTGTAAAATACATTCTATAATATGTCTAAATTCATTGTACATGTACAAGCTTAATCATTTGATGAATGGACAATTGATAATACTTAATAATGGCGTAACAGTAACGCATTGTCACAAACTACACATTTGTATGTACAACAAATGCGAGACTGTTTCAATGTCGCCACTTACACCTGAGAGCATGTGCATATAAATGTGTCACTTCATACACGTGTAGTGGCTGACAAAAGAGCAAATAACATTATACAAAAGAAGAAAACAAAATCATATAATCAATTGGTATAAGAAACTTACACTTTTTTCAGGGGAGTGTAAGATTTGATTTCACTGGTGTTATTTTTTTTAATCAGACGACAAATCACAACGAAATCAAATTGACGACTGTGCTGTATATGCAAAACGCTTACTGTATTGCGGGAAAGATTCGACCATTCAAATTTTCGCCATACACCCATGAAATCCGTTTTCGCAAGATGTTAATTTCGTCCTAAACATTTGATTACTATGTTTAGTATATCCCTTACTTTTGTTCGCTGTTATGATAAATTCCCCTTCCGCGTTCCCGGTGCATTTTGTATACAGTATATCTCGCACTCACCTGTAATAAACTACTGTACTAAAGGATAAGTTATTTTACATACATGTACAATTGTTCAAAACCACCGTGCCTTTTAAATCTGGGTAAACGTAAATAAGGAGAATTATAATAAAGCGCCAATTCATCAGAGCTGGGTATTAATGGGTCCACAAGAATTAAACTGTCACAGCAGGAGAAACTACATCCACCAACAACCGAAAGAAAGCTAAGTGACAGTCGCCTAGCTGTTGCCTGTTGAAGCATAATATATTTCGTACACAGTGGAGAAGTTTTAGATTATAGCAGACATCATCAAAGTCACAGAGTTGGAACCTAGGCAGACACGCGTGTAAAATCATGTAAAGTACTGAAATAACAGTCACGTGTAGAATTATGTAAGATACTGAAATAACAGTCACGTGTAAAATTATGTAAGGTACTGAAATTATAGTCACGTGTAGAATCATGTAAGCTACTGAAATAACAATCACGTGTAAAATCATGTAAGCTACTGAAATAACGGTCACGTGTAGAATCAAGTAAGATACTGAAATAACAGTTACGTGTAAAATCATGTTAGATACTGAAATAACAGTCACGTGCAGAATCATGTAAGCTTCTGAAATAACAGTCACGTGTAGAATTATGTAAGGTTCTGAAATAACGGTCACATGTAGAATCATTTAAGATACTGAAATAACAGTCACGTATAGAATCAAGAAAGATACTGAAATAACAGTTACGTGTAGATTCATGTAAGATACTGAAATAACAGTTACGTGTAAAATCATGTTAGATACTGAAATAACAGTCACGTGCAGAATCATGTAAGCTTCTGAAATAACAGTCACGTGTAGAATTATGTAAGGTTCTGAAATAACGGCCACATGTAGAATCATTTAAGATACTGAAATAACAGTCACGTATAGAATCAAGAAAGATACTGAAATAACAGTTACGTGTAGATTCATGTAAGATACTGAAATAACAGTCACGTGTAGAATCATGTAAGATACTGAAATAACAATCACGTGTAGAATCAAGTAAGATACTGAAATAATAGTTACGTGTAAAATCATGTAAGCTACTGAAATAACGGTCACGTGTAGAATCAAGTAAGATACTGAAATAATAGTTACGTGTAGAATCATGTAAGCTACTGAAATAACAATCACGTGTAAAATCAGGTAAGCTACTGAAATAACAATCACGTGTAGAATAATGTAAGATACTGAAATAACAATCACGTGGAGAATCATGTAAGATACTGAAATAACAATCACGAGTAGAATCAAGTAAGATACTGAAATAATAGTTACGTGTAAAATCATGTAAGCTACTGAAATAACAGTCACGTGTAAAATCATGTGAGCTACTGAAATAGTAATCACGTGTAAGATCATGTAAAATACTGAAATAACAGTCACGTGTAGAATCTTGTAAGCTACTGAAATAACAATCACGTGTAAAATCATGCAAGCTACTGAAATAACGGTCACGTGTAGAATCATATAAGATACTGAAATAACAGTTACGTGCAGAATCATGTAAGATACTGAAATAACAGGCACGTGTAAAATCATGTAAGCTACTGAAATAGTAATCACGTGTAAAATCATGTAAGCTACTGAAATAACAGTCACGTGTAGAATCATGTAAGATACTGAAATAACAGTCACGTGTAGAATCATGTAAGATACTGAAATAACAGTCACGTGTAGAATCATGTAAGATACTGAAATAACAGTCACGTGTAGAATCATGTAAGATA